ACAAAATAGAGGATGATGTTTGAAGGGGAGGGAAGGGGAATTGGCCTGGATTTGGGCTTCTTGATAGAGGAGGAGAGCAAGTATCTGCCAAGGCTTCTGCAGGTGGGAGTCGGGATGGCTTTGGAAGGATCTAGATTTTGATGAAGCTTTGATTATATCTGCTATAGTGTCTTCTAAGTGTGGTCCTCTTGTATCTTCTGTGGTGTCCTTGTGTCTGACAAGAATGTGTGCTGAGTTCCATGTGTTGAATGTATTTCAGCTGATACCCCCGCTCACTAAGGGTATTCATTCATTTCTTCTTATAGGACAATGAGTGCCTATTGTTTCAGAGTACACTGGGAGACATAAAATGACTAACAGCTCTTTTAGGTTAAGAAGTCTACAAGAGCATCAGCAGATCTTATGATAAAGTTGTTGAGCAAGCTTGCACAGCTTTGTAGGGTTAAACAATATTGACAAAATTAAGACTTAACACTAGCAGGGAGGATGGGTTAAACAGTCCATCCAGGATGGTTAAGCTTTGAGTGCCATGTGTAAAACACAAAATGAATTGCATAAAGGCTGGAGCTGGGGAGCCTGTCTTGGCAGCACTTCACACAAGAAGTCATTCCACGGTCCACAACTAAGTCTTGGACTCTTTAGTGACTTAAAGCTTTGTAGATGCGCAGAGAGATAATGATAGCTTCTATGCCAGTTACATCTCAAGTGCCTGGTACTTTTACTTCTGTAGTACTGTTTTTCAAAGCTCATCTCAATCTTACGTGGTGATATTAGCTGCTTTATAGACCAAGAAAATGACACAGGGAGATGAAACAGCTCATCTCATGTCACACAGTGGGGAAGTGAGGGATCCATGTTCTTTCTGCTGAGTCACATAGCCCTCAGAATGATTCAGCTGCTTACAAAGTTAATAAACTTCGGTGTGTATTAATAAAAATGGTGTGTCCAGATGGCGGGACTCTGTGGTGTCTCTGTGCTTGGTTTAGACCAGCCAGATCCCATCTGGAGCAGTGTCCATTTCTAGAGAAGTCACTGTAATGAAAGATGCTCTAGTTGCCAACAGGGGTATGGTTGGGGGTAGGATAGGGTCTGGAGCTATGTCAGAAGAAGGTTCACGGAATTAAGGATGAAGTCAGGTGGTTTTGAGAGATTAATTGAGATGCTTCTTAGAGTAGAAAGAAATTTGGTGGAAATTAGATGAAGGCAGATTTAGATTAGTTCAATGTATAATTGCAACAAGTTTGAATCTTAGAGTTCAATGATATATGTGGATGAATAAATCTACACTATGTTATTACTAAGCAACTCTTTAAGACTTGAAAAGCATGGGTTTGAACTGCATGGGTCCCCTTATATGCAGATTTTTTTCAATAGTAAATACTACGGTCCTACAGGATCCAAGTTTATTGAGTTGGTAGATGTGGAACCTCAGATACTGGGGAACTGCAGATACAAGGGTGGACTAGTAAATAATCTGCAGATCTTTAATTGTGCGGAGGGTTGGTGCCCCTAACCCTGGAGTTGCTCAGGGTCAACTATAGTTCTGTATTACTGATACTTGAAAATGTGTTAAGTGAAAAAAGATTACAATATAATTATTGTTTTAGTTCAGTTGCCAAGTCTAGTCCAACTCTTTGCAACCTCATGGACTGTAGCATGCCAGGCTCCTCTGCCCTCCACTATCTCCCAGAGTTTGCTCAAATTCATGTCCATTGAGTCAGGGATGCTATCTAACCATCTCATTCTCTGCCGCCTCCTTCTCCTTTAGCCTTCAATCTTTCCCAGCATGAGGGTCTTTTCCAATGAGTCGGCTCTTCCCATCAGGTGGCCTAAGTATTGGAGTTTTAGCTTCAGCAACAGTCCTTCCAATGAACATTCAGGGTTGATTTCCTTTAGGATTGACTGGTTTAGTCTCCTTGCTGTCTAAGGGACTCTCAAAAGTCTTCTCCAGAACCACCATTCCAAAGCATCAATTCTTCAGTACTCAGCCTTCTTTATGGTCCAACTCTCACATTTGTACATGACTACTGGAAATTCCATAGCTTTAACTATACAGACCTTTGCCAGCAAACTGATGGCTCTGCTTTTTAACATGCTGTCTAGGTTCATCATAACTTTTCTTCCAAGGAGCAAGCATCTTAATTTCAGCTGCAATCACTGTCTGCAGTGATTTTGGAGCCCAAGAAAATAGTCTGTCACTGTTTCCATTGCTTCCCCATCTATTTGCCATGAAGCGATGGGACAAGATGCTAAGATCTTGGTTTTTTGAATGTTGAGTTTCAAGCCAGTTTTTTCACTCTCTTTTGCCCTCATCAAAAGGCTATTTATTCACTTCTCACCTTCTGCCATTGTAGTGGTATTATCTGCACATCTGAGGCTGTTTATATTTCTCCCAGCAATATTGATTCAAACTGTGATTCATCCAACCCAGCATTTCGAATGACGTACTCTGCATATAAGTTAAATAAGCAGGGTGACAAAATACAGCCTTGATGTACTCCTTTCCCAATTTGGAACCAGTCCATTGTTCCATGTCCAGTTCTAACTGTTGCTTCTTACCTGCATACAGGTTTCTCAGGAAACAAGTAAGATGATCTGGTATTCCCATCTCTTTTAAGAATTTTCCATAGTTTGTAGTGATCCACACAGTCAAAGGCTTTAGCTCAGTCAATGAAGATGTTTTTCTGGAACTTCCTTGCTTTCTTCCTAATCCAACAAATGTTAGCAATTTGATCTCTGGTTCCTCTGACATTTCTAAACTCAGTTTGTACATCTGGAAGTTCTTGGTTCAACTACTGCTGAAGCCTAGCTTGAAGGATTTTGAGTATAACCTTGCTAGCATGCGAAATGAAATAAATTTTATGGTAGTTTGAACATTCTTTGACATTACTCTTCCTTGGGATTGGAATGAAAACTAACCTTTTCTAGTCCTGTGGCCACTGCTGAGTTTTCCAAATTTGCTGGCATATTGAGTGTAGCACTTTAACAGCATCATCTTTTAGGATTTTAAATAGCTCAGCTGGAATTCCATCACCTCCACTAGCTTTGTTCGTAGTAATCCTTCCCCAGGCCCACTTGATTTCACATTCTAGGATATCTGGCTGTAGGTGAGTCACCACACCATCATGGATATCCGAATCATTAAGACCTTTCCTGTAAAGTTCTGTGTATTCTTGCCACCTCTTCTTAATCTCTTCTGTTTCTGTTAAGTCCTACCATTCCTGTCTTTTATAATGCCCATCCTCACATGAAATGTTCCCTTAACACCTCCAATTTTTTAAAAGAGATCTCTAGTTTTTCTGATTGTTTTCTTCTGTTTCTTTGCACTGTTCACCAGGGAAGGCCTTATCTCTCCTTGCTATCCTCTGGAACTCTGCATTCTCTTGGCTATATCTTATCCTTTCTCCCTGGCTTTTCACTTCTCTTCTTTCCTCAGCTGTTCATAAAGCCTCCTGAGACAACCACTTAGTCTTTTTACATTTCTTTTTCTTGGAGATGGTTTTGGTCACCATCTCCTGCACAAGAACTATGAACTCCGTCCATAGTTCTTCAGGCACTCTGTCAGATCTAATCCCTTGAATCTATCTGTCACGTCCACTGTATAATCATAAGGGATTTGATTTAGGTCATACCTGAATGGCCTGGTGATTTTGCTTCCTTTCTTCACTTTAAGCCTAAATTTTGCAACAAGGAGCTCATGATCTGAGCCACACTTAGCTCCAAGCCTCGTTTTTACTGACTATATAGAGCTTCTCCATCTTTGGCTGCAAAGAACATAATCCGATTTTGGTATTGACCATCTGGTGATGTCCATGTGTGGAGCTTTCCCTTGGGTTGTTGGAAAAGGGTGTTTGCTATGACCAGCATACTTTCTTGACAAAACTGTTAGCCTTTGCCCTTCTTCATTTTGTACTCCAAGACCAAACTTACCTGTTATTTCAGGTATCTCTTGATTTCTTACTTTTGCACTCCCATCCCCTATAATGAAAAGGACATCTTTTTTTGGTGTTAATTCTAGAAGGTCTTGTAGGTTTTCATAGAATCGGTCAACCTCAGCTTCTTCAGCATCAGTGGTTGTAGCATAGACTTGGATTACTGTGATGTTGAGTGATTTGCCTTGGAAATGAACCAAGATCATTCTGTCATTTTTGAGATTGCACAAGTACTGCATTTTGGACTCTCTTGTTGACTGTGAGGGCTACTCCATTTCTTCTATGGAATTTTTCCCACAGTAGTAGATATAGTGGTCATATGAATTAAATTCTCCCGTTCTCATCCATTTTAGTTCACTGACTCCTAAGATGTTGATGTTCACTCTTGCCATCTGCTTGACCACAGCCAATTTACCTTGATTCATGGACCTAACATTCCAGGTTGTTTTGCAGTATTGTTCTTTACGACACTGGACTTTTCTTTCACCACCAGACACATCCACAACTGAGTGTCATTCCTGCTTTGGCCCAGCCACGTCCTTCTTTCTGGAGCTATTAGCAACTGCCCTCTGCTCTTCCCCAGTAGCATACTGGACACTACTGACCTGGGGGGCTCATCTTCTGGTGTCATATCTTTCTGCCTTTTCATACTGTACATGGGGTTCTCCAGGCAAGAATACTGGAGTGGGTTGCCATTCCCTTCTCCAGTGGACCACGTTTGTCAGAACTCGTCACTGTGACCTATCTGTCTTGGATGGCCCTGCACGTCATGGTTCATAGCTTCACTGAGTTACCCAAGTCTCTTTACTATAAGGCTATGATCCATGGAGAGGATAGTATTATTGTTCTATTTCATTAAAAAAGTTGTACACACACATGGTTGTATTTAAGTATTCCGAAAATGTTTGTGATCAATAATATGTGATTCTCTTATAGTAGGATTTCAAGCTGTGGCTTTTCCAGTAGTTATGTATGGATCTGAGAGTTGGACCAGAGTGGGATGATAGGGAACCTTAAATACCACAATCTGGGCCCAATTCAAGGTGGGGAAAAAGAAGCCACACAGAATTTGAGTGCAAAAAATAAATATAAAATTTATTAAAACACCCACAATATTTTAAAGATACCAGGAGTAATACAGTTCACAAACCCAGTTGTTTGTGTAAATTATAATAAAATACAAATCAAAAAAGGATACATACTTGCAATTTCTAGGCACCCTAAATTAAATCTGCTGAAACACTGGGGGAGAAGGGAGGGCAAGGAGGGTAGCTCAGGAGGCAAACCAATAAAGTGGGAGGAAAAAATATTAACAAAAAAGTAAAAATTATACAAAATAAAATTATCAGCATAAATTTACTGTACTAAGAATATCTACAGTTTAATAATACACATCCTATTGCCTTGAGACATTGCAAAAATCTACCATTCATCCATCAACCCCAGATAAACTTCATTTCAAGTAGCCACAGTTACAAAGTCAAGACGGAATATTCAAGTATGGTTGTTAAGTTCACCTCCATTGGAAGCCAAGTAACCAAACAGGAATTCAAAGAGAGAAGAAATAAAACACATCAAAAAGCTACAGGGGTTCTAGATTAAGCCTAATGCATTAATATGCCACAATATGACCTGCCCTTGTTTCTTTAATTAGAATAGATGAAAAAGAAATTACATCACTCCTGTTTTTCTCCTCCTTTTTTCCCCTCAAAAGAAAAAAAAAAGTACTGGAACCAAGAAAATTTGGATATTCAAATGAGCCAAATAGAATTTTTAAAATCCTCATGTGATAAATGATGAGTTATCCCTGAATGACAGGTAGTCAAAGTGAGAAAAGAGAGCAAACGATACCACTACAAAAAGCATCCCTGATATCAGAAGAGAAGCAAACGGGGAAGTCGGCCGATTCTCACCGATTCTTAGGCAAAAGCGACGGTAGACCTTGCATTTCTGTGCTGCAATCTCTGCTCAGGGAAGAAGCCTATTGCTTTTCTTTTGTTGGCAGCTCTGCGGAAGGAAGGGCTGGGAGTGCCGAGACGGGGCCTCGCCCGTGGAGAAACTCTCCCTGTGCGTGCGAGTGCGCGCGGGACTGTATAACCTATGCTGGGGGTATGCACCTCAAAAAATATTCAGGTTGGTCCAGGGTATGTTGAAGTTGGCCATGTACTACAGCAGATGCAGCTGGTTAATAAAAATAGGTTGTGAGGGAGTCATTTCAAATGACAGCAACAATGACTGAAAAAGCTCAATGAGATGGGCAGAGGAAATTCACATTTTATTCAAAAGCAAAACTTAAAAGCAAACAAAATAAAAGTCAACCACAGTCCTTCCTCTAAGCATTCTGCCATTTTAACTGAAGAATGAAAAATAAAATGACCCCAGATTCTTCAAGGTCAAGTAGGTCATCAAATGGACAACCCGTACGTATCAGAGCCTCCTGGAATCTACTTTACCAAAGTTGTCATGATGTCCTGTTTTTGAGGTATTTAAAAAAAATTATTGTGACAGTGGATGACACAAAATGGAGCTTCCTGTTGAATTTTTAAAATATCAACTTTTGTGGACCCAAGAAGAAATTTAGAATAGCACCAACTAAAAACAGCCTCAGTGGCACCAAGTGAGCAAAGCTCCTTCCTTTAGTTTGAACACGAGGGGATACCAATGAGAGGCAGAAGCAATGCTGGATGCTGGGGCAAAGGCTGTGAGGAGCAAAGGAATGAGCCCCCTGCCCACCACGGTCCTGGCCAGTGCTGGGGAGGGGAGGAGGCCCATCCGCCCACCCGAGCCTGCAGAGCACCTTTGGAACTCTCAGAGACATCTAGTCAGCACCCTGGACAGCAGGAGAAAACGTCTGTCGGCTATGAGAATGCCTGCCCTGTTAGAAGACGCAGGAGTACCTGCCTCCCCTTCCTCCAAAAAAAAAAAAACCCCAAACCTCTTCATGCTTCCTTTCTTGATAGACCCAAGAGGACACATGTGAAACCAGCGTGCCCGCCACCTCCAAGCCAGGCAGGCCCACTCCCCGCCCCAGTAAGAGGGCTGGCTGCCTTTGAGACTTGCCTTTCTGTCTGGCCAGCAAGGGAGGAATAGAACAAAACAGAAAAACTGCTCAGAGCAGGTTCTAGCACGTAAACAGAAGTCTAAGGAGACAGCACCAAAAGGGGGCAGGGGAAGAAGCCAAGAGACTGGAGCCCACCTTGTTTTTGGTTGGTTGTGGTTTCAGAACCTTGATAGCACCTCAGCAGGACAGGATCAGGGACAGTCACATTAAAACACCATAGCACCATTTTATTTAGACTATTTCAATTCATAAAAATGCTTCCTAGTCCATAAAACACACTTCAGTAACAAAAGGAAAGAGATTGGTTGAGGCACGTCGGGGCTATCATTTTAATTTCCGCAGCACTGCCCTGGTGTGAGGTCTGGCGGTGGTCAACTTCATGAAGCCTGGCTGGGTTCTCTTAATGGAATCAGGTTACCATCTACTCACTGTCACCCGTCCTCGCATACCCACTGCTGTTGGGCACAAAGCAATTAAGATCTGCTCCTTCCTTCCTTCCTTGCTTCAGCACTTTTAAATCCCTTGCTCTGCAAACTACTGTTTCCAAAAGAGGCTGGTGAGAGGACCAAGAGGGGCGGGTAGGATCTCTTTCCCTGCGCACCTGTCATCTCAGTGAGACGGCGAGGCAGTACCCACATAGCCAGAGTGGGAAACCCAGGCCCTGCCAGAAAACACACCAAACAATAACGAAAACAAGAAACCTCAAAAGCCATGAAACACTTCAGTCAACATTTCTGATGGTTAGATAACGGTTTCTTGAGCTAGCACCAGTTATTTTGCGAGAACCTGCCGCAAAGCGATTTTTTTATTTTAAAAACTTCTTAGCACAAAACTTTGCAAGTACTTTCCTTGCATGCAAAAAAGGCAGGGAAAACAAAAGAAGAACCAACTGTCTGCACTGCACGTGGATGGCATCTGTGGACAGGGCACACTGGGGGAGATGACTCTAGGACTCCATCATTTCTGTTGCTAGACTATTATTCCTAAAACTTGGTCATGCTGTTAGGTTCTTTAGTTGCAATGGCTTTATTTTTCTTCTCATGATAAAAATGTCTGTTAATCATCTTTAGGACTTAAAAAATGATAGTGCCAGTAAAAAATAAAAATTCCATTTTTCTCTTTAAGAAACCTTCAGCAGCAAGGGGGAGGGGATAAAGAGCTGTGCATAGTTACTTTTTAAACATACGTCTAAAGCATGCTAATTTAATGACTGAGATTTGAGGTAGGTTATACATGTAGTGTGTAAAAATCAGCATGGGCTTGAGCATGGCAACAGCACCACCTAATCTCTGAAACACCGTTCTGGAGGGCATGGGGACATCCAATGGAGACTGCCTCTTGACTCACTTCTCAGCAGCCTATTTGCTAATCCAGAATTTATGAACCAAAGGCTGTTTGGGTTGGGGGTGGGGGAGAGACATCACATGCTTTTAGATTGTATTGGTTTCTCCTTTCATCTAATGGCTTTGCTACCAAGGGTGATGAGGGGAAGAGTCTATTAAACACACATCAAGGAGATTCATACATGCCAAGTATCAGAATCACCTGGGTTACACTCGGGACCTTCCAAACCAACAGCCAACCTGGGGCTTTCCCGGGTCATACAGACGGTCACATTCTCCAAATGTTTTGTAAAATATTGTATTTCTTGTTTAAGATAATTTAAAATGAAGTTTTCAAGGCACCCCCGCATCTACCTAAGCACGGAGTCAAATGAGACCTGCATAAAAGTACTGATGCGTTAAGCAAAATAGCATTTAAAGGACCCAACTTTTCCTCAAAACTAGAAAATCAGCATGCTCATTAAAGACTCTGCTTCCTTTAGCTTGTCAAACTGAAGGTCAGAGGTTTTCCTATAAATCTGAGTTCTGAATAATTCGAAATCCTGATAAGCTCTTGGGTATTTATTTCAAAAGCAATAATATTTCATTTTTGTCCTGTAAAATAAATGCAACTTTACAGAATATGGTAAAAGTGAAGGCTAGACAAAGCACGTTAAATATTCAGCTACTATTTACAATTTCTCCCACAATTACATGTTAAAACATACTTTTTTCAAGTTGCTGTTTAAATCTAGGCAAAAGTGCTTAAAAATTTTTTTTCACTATTTACAATTAAAACCAGACCACATAAATGCTCAGGACATCTCATAGCGAGTCTCCGCCAGTGCTGCTGGAACAGTTACAGTAAACACCCAGCGGGTCGATTCTCAGCTCTTACACAAGGCACCTGGAAGCTCAGGAACTTGCCTTTAGCATCGTCATCTGATTGTTAAACTCATATGAAGACCCACATCTGAATAAAACTGCTCAATAAATATCTGATGTTTATCTCAGGGTTTGGCTGTCAATCACTGCGTGGCCATATTCCCCTCTGTGTCCTTATGAAGCCTCTCACGCACCACATACATCCACATGGGTAGCTGGACATCATTTCTGCTAATACCACAGGAAAAACACACACTCCAAGAAGTCTGACGTGCTGTCGACGAATGTTGCTTCCTACCTGTCAGGCCCAACCTCTCTCAACAAATGTCAAAAAAATTAAGCACCACATTCTCATTTCAAAGAACTGAACGAATGCACCAGAATTTTAGAATGGGCATGTTCAAGTGGGTGGAGAGGGGAGGAAGGAAGGAAAGGAGAAAATGACCAAATAGAGAAATGGCACCAATTAGGGAGGAAAATCATAGCTACCTGCTGAAAATGTTTGACTCTTGCATTTAAAAATTGTTAAGTGTAGGCCCACTCCTCAAATGGTAGCATGGAGGGGTGGGCTCAGGTGTGAGGCATGCACCATTGTCCAATGTGAAATCCAGGGATAAGGAGATGCGTTACAGCTGTCTCACTGCTGTGCGGAGTCCCGCAGGGCGGCCTGCCCGATCAAGGAGGCCCCAGCACAGCACTGCAGCACCAGGCTCGGCTTTTCACAGCTTGGGTTCGACTTCTTGTTCTTAAAGATACAGTAGCCCTTTTCGGTATCAGCATCGACTTTGGAGGCATTTTTTTTTTTTTAAACCTGCCACTAAGACAAATTCCTTCAGCCAGTATTCATCGGCTAGTCAGCTTGGTGGAAAAAGGCTCCCGAGAACCTCTTGATTCCAGCTCCGTCCCGAGGTGCTGCCGAGGGGACCACGGTACCACGTGACTTGATAGCTAATGGACAGAGAGGATTCAGTGTGGAGACTAGCAAGCTTGAAGCTATCTACTTCCAACCTGGTTTCGGGGGAGATCTATGCCAGCATCTCAGGTGCCTGGCCTGGGGTGCGCCTGCCCCCCCATACCCGACTCCAAGCCGGGGACTGGAAAAGGGACCCCAGGGGTTTTTCTACAGATTCTCCCATCCTACTGAAGAGGACAGAAGCTGTCCTGAGGGCTCCCTCCCCTGAAGGGAAGGCGTGTCTGTCAGGGGGATGCAGTGGGTGGCTACGACCTGCACTTGGCTCATGAGGGGCCGATGGCTGAGAGAACCTCGTCATCTCCCAAGAGGGCCAGGCTCACCAGGCCCAGCACACCTGGGCAGGAATGAGTGCTTCTGGCCTTTCCTGCCGATCCTTTACCATTACAATTGTCACTTAAAAAAAAAATCCAATAAATACACATTTTAAATGGAATTTAAAACTACTCCTTTGTGAAAGGACACTATAAACTTTCTTTCCATTATTGTGATATACAAGGATAGAGTTTTAAAAACAAGAGAAAATAAAAGCCCCCCCAAACAAGGGAGGGAAAAAAACCAATGTGGAGATATAAATATTAAGATCACGAAAAAAATCACCCGACAGCCGTAGTTTCTTCTTCAAAGTGCTGGGGAAGTGGGGGTGGGGGGAGGGAAGGGAGGGGCGGGTCAGTTCTGAGGTTTGGACCATAAATACATATATATGCGTATCTATATATGTATATATAGATAAAAAGACTTCTGCACCCCCAACCCGCCCCCAGGTGTGAGGGCGAAAGCACCACAGAGGCAGCTCGGGCCGGGCCCGACGCTGAGGTACGCTGGCTCCCTGGCACCTAGATCCAGCGGCTGTAGGGGCCGGTGACCTTCGTGTAGGCATAGGAGGACACGGTGACCGCTGAGTCCGTGGGCACGGCCAGCGCCTGCCGGGTGGGCACCATCCCCTTCTTCTCCTTATGCTGGGACTCGGGGACCACGGCGCCCCCCCACTTGCGCTTCTTCCCGTAGAGCTTGGCCTCCTGATGGCCCAGGCCCAGCCGGGCGGCCTCCTCCTGTCGTGCCCGCGCCCTCTCCGCCAGCTGCTTCATCTTGGCCTCCCAGAGCGCCAGCCCGTGGTTGGGCTGGTTGAGGTTCTTGTGCTGGTAGAAGACCAGCGAGATGCGGGTGGGGTGGCAGCGGTTGGGCTTCTTGAGGGGCGTGGTGGCGTGCAGCTCCCGCCGGGCACACTCGATGAGGATGGAGCCGTGAGCGGGGGCCACGGCCACGCCGCCGATGTTCTCGTCCAGGAAGTTGTGTTCGCTGTCCGACCACAGTTCCTCCTCCTCCTCCGCTCCACCGGCGCCGCCCCCGCTGCCCTTCTCCTCCTTCACAGTCCCCTTGTTAGGGGGCCCCTCTGCTGTCCCCTCCTCCAGGCTGAAGGGATCCCACAGCTTCTCCTCGGACTTCAGGGCCCCAAACAGCTTCTCACTGGGGCCCAGGGGCATGCCGAAGGACTGCCAGGCTTTGTCCAGCTGGCTCGCTCCCGGGGTTGGAATCCTCCCCTCCTCCCCTTTCAAGGGGCTCCACAGCTTGTCCTGGAATCCAGGCCCACCTTTCAGGGCGGAGCTGAAGTCCCCTGCCCCCACCCCCCAGGGCTTCTCAGCCAGGCCGGGCCCAGCCAAGGACGAGGAGCTGCTTCCAAACTTGCAGGGGCTCCACGGCTTGCCTCGCAGCCGTCCTGCAGGCTGGGGGGCTGGCTGCTGTCCCTCGCCAGGAAACAACCCCCACTGATGCTGGCCATCAGGGAAGTGGGAAGGGGTCAGGCAGGCACCCCCAAAAGAACCGAGCTTATCAGGGATGACGGCGGGGCTTTCCACAGGAGGGAACACACCCCAGCTGCCACCCACGCTGTTAGTCCTTTTGGGGGACATGCTTGGGCCTCCTGAGTACTGTCCCCATAGATGACTGGGACCCCCGTTCTGAGATGCCTCAGGCAAAGGTGTTTTGCCCATCTTGCCAGGCTCTCTGGATACAGATTCAGTGTGGACCAGTGGATCTACTGGCTCTTGCTTGATGGATCTGTTGTAGCAATTGGAGCTCTGTGCAAAAGGAGAGGGGTCCCTGGACACTGGGTGGATCTGGGGGGCCTTCGGAAGCAGATACTCCTTGGGGCCTGGATAAGCAGGCTGCTGGTGGTGAGAAGCGGGGTGGTGGGTGTCTGTGGGAACAGCCTGACCAGGCAGCTCGGCAAACTCAGCACCACCGTAGGCTGGGCTCAGGCTGTTGTGCAGAGCGTGGAGGTCTGGCTTCTTCTCGAAACTGCTGCTGCTGCCACTGTGCCCCCAGGCACCAGCACCCAGGAACTGAGAGGGGAAGACCGGGTTGCTGGACGGGAAGCCGTAGTAGCTGAACGACGGAAGCGCGTACTTGGAGTGGAAGCCGTTGACGGAGGCCAGGCCGGGCTGTGCATAGTAGGAGTGATAGGAGTACACACTGTTCACGCTGTAGGGGTCGGAGGGCCGGCAGCTGCCCAGCACCGAGTAGCTCTCCACCACCGTGTTGCCGCTATACTTGAAGGAGCTGAAGGGGCTCTGCGGCTCCACCTTGAGGGAGGGTTTCAGGCTTTGCTGGGACAACCCAGCCTTCAGAGAGAGGCCTGAGGAAGACAGGAGGTGAGACAGAGAAGGAGCACAGAGGACCACCGCCACAGAAGCGCCCGCTTCTCCCGAGGGGATTCCTCAGCCAGGCAGGCAGGACGCGGGAGGCTGGGCTTGCTCCCGGCGCCGCTCCGCTTGGCCTGGCCCCGAGGAAGCCCTGGGAGAGTGGCCGGCAGAGCCCTCAGCGCCCCAACCCAGGCAGACCCCCACCTGTCCTCCCCGAAGCGCCCCCGTGCCAGCTGCGGCAGGGGTCAGGGCTGCCCACACCGAAGACCCTGCTGTCCCGCTGCGAGGGGCGCGGGCGAGCTGGGGGACACCCAGCTGCCCTCTGGGAAGATGGGGGACCTCCGTGCCCTCGGCTCCCAGGTGCCTCCCATCGGGTCTGGCGTCCTCTGTCGCTGACTAACGGACGGTTCAGACGGCTGAGAGATTCCAGTACTTTCCTGTCTGGAATGCTATCTCAAGGCAGGAAGGGGGTGGTAAGGGCCCCCCGAACTGATGGCGCTCTGCCTCCCCTGCTGGGCGCTCTCCCTCCCCTGCTGGGCGCTCTCCCCACACACCTGCGTCAGTGGTGATGCCAGCCAGCTCCAGGGCCTCCTGCTTGATCTTCTCAGGAGTGCTCAGCTTCTCCTTCTGGATCTTCTTCTTCTCGGCTGCTGCCTTCCTGGCTTCAAGCTGCCGCTGGCGGCAGGACTTGGCAGGCTCGGGCAGGCGCCGGACCTCGCGGGGGAAGGCGGTGAGCACCTGGATGGCCCCGCTGCCCACCTTGGCGTTCTGGTTCTCCTCACTGCCGAACTCGTCCGTGCTGGCCATCTTGTACAGGGGGAGCACGTGCAGCTGCTCGTCCTCGGGGATCTTGCCCACGCAGCGATTGTCTTCCTTGGTCAGGGTGCAGACCTGCCTCAAGCAGAGACAGGGGTTGGGGGAGCCCGGCACTGGGAGGGAGGGGCTGAGCAGCCCGAACACAGACCGTCCCAACCCCAGCCACCCGTTAGTCCCTCTCAGAGCATCTAAAAAGCACGCTTGTCTTGGCTTATACAGGAACGGGGTCACCACCATTTAGAGTTTGCTTGACAGTTTTCAACACACATCCATTCACTTTGCCTAACCAGGCTGAGGGGGCATGAGATGACCGGCTCTGGGTCAAACAGCCAGAAAGGGGCCAGGTCAGGACAGGGAGATGTGCTCTGCCCCCGACTGTCATCACTGCCAGGACATGTCATTACCCAGACCTTGGACCTTCCACCATCATCCTCCTTGCCCTCAACACTCATCTCCTTTTGTTCTTAAAACTGAAAACTGTACATGTTGGTGGTAGAAAATTTACAGCAATACAAAGGACATGAAAATTATCTCCATAATCCCACCAACTAGAAATAACCTGTGTACTTGGTCATAGACATGCTCACTTTTTAATAATTAAATAAGATTATTTATACTATGTATGTGCTGTGTGCTTAGTCACTCAGCTGTGTCCAACTCTTCGCGACCCCATGGACGGTAGCCCACCAGGCTCCTCTGTCCATGGGATTCTCCAGGCAAGAATACTGGAGTGGGTTACCATGCCCTCCTCCAGGGGATCTTCCCAACCCAGGGTCGAACCCAGGTCTCCTGCATTGCAGGCGGATTCTTTACTGACTGAGCCACCAGGGAAGCCCATATTCTGGATACAGTTTTAGAACAACTTTTTCTTACACAATATATTTTCTTCCATGTTAGATATTCTTCCCCAATACGATTTAAGAGCCACACTATATTATTCCACTGTATCAATGTGTTAACCTATTTAACTAATCCCTCATAACTATTTAAACCTGTTTCTCATTTTTTCCTATGGTAAGTAATACTTTTATTCTTTCACTGAATTTTCTAAGATACTTAATTCCCTAGGATAAACACTATGAGGAAGAACTGCCACATACTGCCAAACTGTGCTCCAAAACGATTTAGCATCAGTGCTTCACTCACACTGGCAGAATTTTCCATTTTCCTATACTTTTGTTGACATTTTTGCCATTCATTCAAAACTTTTCACTTGTTATCAAAACATATCTCGCCACTGGAATATGCTTCTCTTATTACTAAGGCGTCTGATTTTTTTTTTTTTTCATTTACTTTTGTATTGACTATATTTTATTTTCTGAATTCTTGATGTTCTAACATTTGGGGCCTTGATCTTGAAGGGACTGACTCTCCCTAAGACTGCATGCTCAGTTGCTTCAGCTGTGTCCAACTCTTTGCGACGCTATGGATGCAGCCCACCAGGCTCCTCTGTCCATTGGATTCTGCAGGCAAGAATGCTGGTGATGGTTGCCATGCCCTCCTCCAGGGGATCTTCCCAACCCAGGAATTCAGCCTGTGTCTCTTATGTCTCCTGCATTGGCAGGTGGGTTCTTTACCACTAGTGCCACCTGGGAAGCCTAGCTAATTCCTACAGGCAGCAAATGACCCCCCGCCAATGCAACTTTGATACATAAACCAACCTACCCAACCCCACCATCTCCTTTATCAAACTCTTACACACCAAATACTTCCCCTGCCTTAAATCACCCCATAGAGACCACCTCTAAAGCCCAGAGCCTGAAGAAATTATTCAAACTATCAACCCTAAACTTACTCAGTTTATTTGTCCTGCCTTGCCCATTCTGTTTTATGAAATCCGCAATAAAGCTGTGGGCCCTTCTCTCCCCTCTCTGCCTCCTGACCAACGCGACTGTTGCCCAGGAAGCTGCCAAATTAGCACCCCAAGGCTGTAAGTGTCCTTATCCTGGGGCCACTGCACAAAGCTGTGCTGAGGACACCCTCCCTGTGGTTTACGGAAAGGAGTCTGAGAGTACTGTCCGTCCACAGGGGACTGGTTGGTACATGGTGACAGAGCCACACACACAGCCTTAGAACAGCTGAAGTAAACTGATATCCACCGACCCAGAAAGCTATCCACCACATGCTGTTGAGTTAAGAGAAGCAAGGTCATGGAACAGCACATACACATGTGTAAAATGTATACAGCTGTGCACACACACACATACATTCAGGTATCTGAATGGATGGCCATCACAATGCTAACACAGGTTATCTATGAGACTTCAGGCAATTTTAAATTTATACTTTCTCGTGTTATTAAATTTTTTTTTTACAATAAATAATTGTTCAGGTAGGAAAAAACCCATTATTCATTTTGGAAAAAAACTTATTTTTCACTTCATTCTGGAAGCTCTGGGATCCAAATAACCTGACTGTGCTCTTATCTCCCAAAGGTCTGTCCTACTCCTTTCCTAATCTTGAAGGGCCCACTCCTTCTCTATATTTCAACTAGAAGATCCTCACGGTGTAGTGTAGACTGAAGCCTGCCTCATTGTGCTTTTTGGTCTTGAACATGGGAAAGGAGGACAAGATGGAGAAATGAAATCCTAGGGTTGGGTCATTCATCCCATGCGGACAGAAGCTACACTGACTCTAGGAGTTCCTTTTTAGTTGAACATGCCAGTGCCCTTGCCTCTTCCACAGCCCCCTGGGAGCCTGTCTCCTAAGACCTAGGTGAAACGCAGAGAAGAGAGCCACATCACTCCTTCCAGGGCGCCCCCACCCAAGCCCAAACCTCCTCCCTCCTCCATCTGGTACTCACTCTTCTGGGACCTGCATCCAGGCTCATGGCCCTAAATACGAACTAAGTGCTCTCCAGTCTCAACTTCATTTCTCCAGACTCTCCTTTTCCCCAGCCTACTCTACATCTCCACCTGGACATCTAGCAGGCATTTCAAAACAGAATTTTCTTAATTTTTAAAAAAACTTTTAAATATTATATTGGAGTACAGCCAATTAACTATGTTGTAATAGTTTCAGACGGACAGCAAAGGGACTCAGCCATACATATACACATATCCATTCTCCCCCAAGTTCCCTTCCCATCCAGGCTGCCATAATATTGAGTAAAGTTTCCTCTCCTATGTGGTAGGCCCTTGCTAGTTATCCATTTTAAATACAGCAGTAGTGCTCAGATTCTTTACTGCTGAGCCACAAGGGGAGCCCAAACATAAATAATTAAACCTAACTCATACAGGTGTAAGTGAAGTGAAGTGAAGTCGCTCAGTCGTGTCTGACTCTTTTCAACCCTGTGGACTGTAGCCTACCAGGCTCCTCCATCCATGGGATTCTCCAGGCAAAAGTACTGGAGTGGGTTGCCATTTCCTTCTCCAGGGGATCTTCCCGACCCAGGGATCGAACCCAGGTCTCCCGCATTGTGGGCAGACGCTTTAACCTCTGAGCCACCAGGGAAGCCAGCAACCATAAGTTTGTTTTCTAAGTCTGTGAGTCTGTGTCTGTCAAAACAGAATTCTTGATTTTCACCCCAAACTGGTCTTCTCCTGATATTCTACATCTCAGTAAATAACACTAACACTTGCCTAGTTGCTCAAGCAATTCACACACCCCATGTCCAGGCCATGAGCAAATACCCTCAGCTATGCCTTCAATATCATCCCAAACCTGTCCAATTACTCCCCAGTCCCACCTCACTCCTGCCCAAGCTCTGTCACCTCTGGACAACTGTCCCAGCCTCTACCTGGCCTGCTTGCTCTGGTTCTTCCCCACCCACCCCTACTGCAACATATTTTATTCTCCATCTGTAGGAGCAAGAGAGTGCTTCTGACTTTAAGTGAGATCTTAGCATTCCCAGCTGAAAAGCCCTCCAGGGCTTCCCATCACACTTAGAGCAGAACCCAGAGCCCTCCCAGCCTCCCATGCCCCCTGGAACCCACCCTCGCCTGCCCCTCTAATCTCACTCCTCTGAGCCTTTGCCTGTGTTGGTCCTGGAGCACCCCACCCCTACCCCATGCATTCAGTCCCTTACCTCCGCATGTCTGCTCAGGTGCCCCTTCTCAGACAAGGCTCCCTCCACGTCATCTAAAAGAGCATCTGTGGTCATCTCATCCCTTACCCTACTGTATCTTCTCCTCACAGCCTTCCTTGCTACTGGACGTTATATCACACCCTTGGGCAGCACTCTGTTCATTTTATCCCCCGGCATCTAGAGCAGTACCTGGGGCACAATAAACATTTGCCCAGTGAATGAATCAAGAGACTGTCTGGACTTAAATCCAAGGCTTCAGAGAGACCTGGAACCACACTTTAGATTAAACTAGGACACACTGGGTGTCCAAGAGGCTGTGTTCTGCAGCATCCACCCACACCAGCTCTGTCCCTGCATTTCCCAAAGAAGTTGGCAGAAGCAGGCAGCCTGGCAGGGTCTCTCCCAGACTTGAGCCCACCTATCCGCACAGAGCAGGTGTGTGCCCCCTCCCAGGATCATCTCATAGGTGGGGCTGTGACAGCTCACAGGCTTTCTTACCACTGTGCACCCGTTGTAGAGGTTATGCTGGTCCTTGTGGGCGTGGGCACAGAAGTCCATGCAGGCTGTGACCCCCGAGAAGGGCCGCCCTTCCTTCAGCCCCAGACGGCAATCAATCGCTATTTCCTCATTGGTCACCTGTGGAGATTGCCAGGGAGAGCTGCTCAAGTGACCTGGGATGGTGGCCCTGACTTGGCAGAGAGGAGGCCAGGGGCAGAGAGGGAGGGGAGGAGGGAGGAGGTTAAGGAACACGACTGTCTTGCACTTGAGCTGCAGGAGGGAGGTTTTATGGCTGAAGCCCCTGTAGGGGTTACTTCCTTCTGGGTTATCTCAAGTCCCCTTTGCCTCAACTACGGAGTGCAGAGGTGACTGGTGAGAGAAACTCAAGCCTTCTCTACCAGAGCAGAGGACGTGGAGGATTATGAGCGGGAGAGAGATAAAGACTAAGGATAGAGGAGAGTCCGGGGTGTGGTGAGCCTGGTGCAAACACGAGGTCTTAAGAAAGACCTACACCGCTGCTGGAGCACTGGCTGGGCTTTCCCATCAGGAGCCCACTCTGCACTGTCACACAGCAGGGAGCTGGGCAGAGGTGGGGTGTCACGTGGGCACAGAACAGCAGAGAACAGCGCAAGACCCAGTACCTGGTTCTGATAGGCCTGGGGCGCCAGCCGCTTATACAGGGGGGCAACTTCGGTGGCCAGGTCCTGGAAACTCTTCCGGAGCACTTCTTCCTGTGGAGACGAGAATAGTCACACACCCCCAGAGCAGCTCCGCCTGGTAAACTCTGCACCCTGGAAATCCACCTCCATTCTAGAACCTCTGCTGGGCTCCCAGCAGCAAGGTAAGAAGGGGCCGACAGGTATCTTAACAGTGTTTCTTCTGGGAAGGGTGTGGGGCCGCGTCTGATTTAAAGTTGGAGATGCTGAAGCTCACCAGAGTCTGGTCACCCTGACTACCAAGCACCTGCTCTGCCAGCCTCCAGCCCAGAGCCACTCAGAACGCCTAGAACAGGTTCCTGCCCTTACTGAGCACCTCGGTCAGAGGTGGGGGATGGCAGGCGTGTGCGAGCATGAACAGCAAGTGTGGATCCTTCCTGCAGTGGTCCAGACAGGTAAACAGAGGCAGGGAGGGGCGGGCGGGGCCTGTGCTAGGAATCCCACAGCCGCCGGGCCCAGCACCTGTCACGAGCCAAGTACACAGGCTCAACGTTCTATCCTTTAAGACTATCATCTCAGGTGTTCAGTCCACAAGCCGTGTGTGGCTACTGCAGCATAAATTAATTTTAATTAAAATTAAATAAAAAATTCAGCCCCTCCACTGCACTAGCCACATTTCAAATACTCAGTGACTACAAGTGGTTCCTGTGGCTGTCTGTAACTCTACAGAGAACATTTCCATTATCACAGAAAGTTCCACCAGACAATGCTGACCTCAATGAAGCAGCCCCCAAACAGAGTTTAAGGTATTCACGGCCTTTCTCTAGCCCTCTGAGGGTGACAAGTAGGGCTACAGCAGCTCCAAGCCAGCCTTAAGCACAGGCATGAAGAGTTTACAGAGAAGAACGAGGAGGAAGAGGGAAGGAAGAAAGCACCAAACTCACAGAATTAGAAACAGAAGGGTGAGACCAATGGCTCAGCTGTCTGTCCAGTGGGGCCGCAGAGCTACCAGCCAGCCTCACTGCAACTCCCTGGCTACCTTCCAGGTGCTTCCATGAGCACGGGGGGCCTGAAGCCAGCACAACATGGGGGTGGGGAAACACAGGCCAGGGTTAAATGCTGACTTCACCATCACTGCCACACAGCCTCGGGCAAGCCATCTGCCTCACCTGTAAAGGGAGCAGTCATAGTGCCCAGAGCCTCAGGGTGTCATAAGATTAACTGAGACACTTGTGAGGTTCTGAGCAGAGCACCCAGCACTTAGTAGGTGCACAGGAAATGGTAGCTGATGGAACAGAGGAAACAGTTGTTTTCCATGTATTGCTTTCATTCATGATAATTCCTAGTTTCTGGCGGCACTGAGACTCCTTCATTCATTGAAGCAACTGCATTTGCTGCTTCTGAGGGAGGCAGGGTGCTGCCATAAATAAAAGTCTAGCGTCAAATTAGACTCAGACTAGGTTATGTAACAGTCAGAAAAGCTGGCTTGGAAAGGAAAAAAAAGAGCTTCTAAATTTGGATGTGCTGCTTCCTTTTATTTCTGAAAAGCAAAGCCTGGAAGTCTGAGCATAGAAATTTATATGTGGTTTAGGAAAAAAAATGTACCCCAGGAGTCCTTGCCCCCTGAAAAGGGGGGAAGCCCTTCTGGCACAAGGAGCTTGGAGACAGTTGGAATGTAGAGAGTGGGATCAAGGTACTGCCGGGATCCATTGCCCCGCTCCTTGCAGGAGCAGAAGCAGAAGCAGGAGGGAGGGAGGCTGCAGGGAGCCCACTGCAGCCTGAGGCTGGCTCTGCCTCTAGACTTCCAGGTGGGAGCCCCTCAGACGGCCTGCCCAACCAAGGCAACAGAGGAGGAGTGCAGAGGGGGAGGCAGCCTGGCTGGACACGCCTGGCTCCCAGCCTAAGCTCAGCCTGCGGAGGAGACCCTGAGACCCTTGTCCTGTTGTTACTGGGTTGAGGAAAAGCTCGAGGGCAGGAGGAGGCCTCAGACCTACAGGCAACGTCATGTGGATGCTAGTCCAGTGCCCGAGGACCATGCCAGGCCCCCAGCAGGGGACAGCAAAGACCTGGACAACTGCGCAGAGATGTGTCTCCAGCGGCCGGGCAGGATGAGGGAAGTCTAGCATCAGTCAAAAGATGGCCTGAGGCCCCTCTTCCTCCCATACCTCCCACCCAGAAAGATGTCTTGCAAAGAATAGAGGGAAGTGATAACTCTTAAGAGGGCCATACTCTAATGAAGGAATCTGAACATTTACCTTAAGGAGACTTTTCTAAACTGCAAGAGTCTGAGGTACCTGTAATTGGTAAGTCTAATTTTTCACTTGTCATATCCTTCCACATCACATCACATAACTTATTTCACTGCAAGATAAGGTCAGTTAAAAAACAAAAAAGGAAGTTCCATTTTATGCACATCTGAGTCTCAGTGCACTAATCCTATGTGCCATCTGGACTGTTAGAGGCAGCAGGTGGGACAGGGTGAGTGGGAGCCCCCGGGCTCCCTATGGGGCTCTGCTCACCTCTTTGGGGTTGTCCCCAGCGAGGCGGAACTTGCGAGGAGTTTTGCTCCGAGCATATTTGCAGCCATTGAAGTACATGCTCCAGGAACAACCGAAGGAGAAGGAGGCACCACAGGTGTTTGGGTCTTTGCCTTGGCAAGCGCAGGTCCGGCTGCAACATATAACACGTTAGGCATCCAAAGCACATTTTTTGTTCTGGAATTTTCCCCTCCCTGAGGGGGAGGCCCTGCTGTTGCCTGGCATCTGCTGGCCTCCCACTATTGGGATGACATCATTCCCTGCCCTCAACTCCTTTCCCAAGTCTCTACCCTTGTGGGCAGAGGACCAGTTCTGAGTAGCCCATTGGGCTCCCCACCCCTGAGCCTGAAGGTCTGAGAGTCTGTTGCTGGGAGAAGCACCTGGGTTTTGTGAGATGGCTGAAAGGACCTAATCAAAAACCCAATCATGTTTACACTTTGCCATGACTCTAATATCTTGATCAGCTTCAACACAGACCACTCGAAGAGGGGAATAATGTGAACCACAGAGTTTGAACATGCCTGCTTCCTGCAGGCCCAGGTGCTGACAGGCCTTTAAAGAAATTAACACTGACATTACCATTCAACACTTAATAAAATCCAGAAATAATCCGAACACCCCTCAGTTGGGGAATGAATAAACAAACTGTGATGCATCCACATGGTAGAATACTACTCAGTAATGAAAAGGAATGGGCTCCTGATCCACACATCCATAGATGAAACTCAGAACACTGTGCTAAGGAGAAGAAGCCAGATTCGGGAGGCTACCTGCTGCATCGTTCCCTTTATGTGACATTCTTATAAAGGCAATCCTACCGAGACAGGAAGCAAGGTGTGGATGCCAGGGGTGGAGGGGAGCACCAGGCTATAGTGGGGCATGGTGGAGTTTGGGGCTGAGGGAGCTGTTCTATGTCTTGATTGCGGTGGTGGCTACACGGCTATAAACATCTGTCAAATTCCTCAAGCTGTATACCTCAAAGGATGAATTTTACTGTAAGTAAAAATACCTTAATTTAAAAAATGGGGGGAGGATCCTGTAAGGATAGGTCTTATGAATATCACTGATGCCTTATATTAGTGGGGCACTCACACACATTTCCACACTTGCCACCATTATTAGGGCCTCAGAGTCAACTTGGGGCAGAAAGCAGAGCTAAGCTGAGTCAAGAGACCCTCCCCAGCCTGGGTCAGACCAGCTCGGTGGGGGAGCACTCTTTCCACCACAGTCCTACCTCTGCGGAACACATAGGGCTCTGACCCCGTGTCCCACCCCCGCCACTGGGACCATCCACATACTCATCGTTGAGGCCACATCTCCGGCTGGTGGGGTTCCCGTACTTCCGGAGGGTGTCGGTGAGCTCCTGGTAGAGGGTGTCTCCGAGACTGCGGGGGATGCCCTCCCAGGCCAGGATGAGGATGACGATCACGGCGTTCTGGCAGTGGTGGCCCGCCCGGTGCCGCACCAGGCAGAGCAGCTTCTCTTCCAGCGTGTGCCTGCGGATCACCTGTGGGGAGGCGGGGAAGGGGGGCGCTGGGAACCACAGGAGTCAAGCGCCCGCGCTCATCCGCAGCGGACACCACACACCCCCCTCTGCCCACAGACCCGGGTGCAGCTCTTCTGGGCAGTGTCCCAGGGGAGTCATACCCTGGCGACCACAACCACACAGGCTAAAGGACCATTGTAATTCGGAAAAGAAAAACGTTAAAGTGCAAAATAAAAAATAATTACTACAAAACCTAAATAATTGGTGATTTACATAGACTTAGGAATAAAAATAAAACTTAGCAGTAGCCACAGGACTGGAAAAGGTCAGTTTTCATTCCAACCTCAAAAAAGGGCAACGCCAAAGAATGTTCAAACTACCATACAATCGTGGTCATTTCACATGCTAGCAAGACAATGCTCAAAATCCTTCAAGCTAGGCTTCAACAGTACATGAACCTAGAACTTCCAGATGTACAAGCTGGATTTAGAAAAGGCAGAGGATCCAGAGATCAAATTGCCAACAAGGCAACTGCCAACAAGATTAAGTAAGGGAATTCCAGAAAAACATCTATTTCTGCTTCTTTGACTACACTAAAGCCTTTGACTGTGTGGATCACAACAAACTGTGGAAAATGCTTAAAAGACACGGGAATACCTGCCTCCTGAGAAATCTGTATGCAGGTTAAAAAGCATCAGTTAGAACCAGACATGGGACAATGGACTGATTCAAAACTGGGAAAGGAGTACATCAAGGCTGTATATTGTCACCCTGCTTATTTGACTTACATGCAGAGTACATCATGCAAAATGCCAGGATGAATCACAAAGTGGAATCAAGATTGTCAGGAGAAATATCAACAACCTGAGATATGCAAATGATACCACCCTAATGGCAGAAAACAAAGAGGAACTAAAGAGCTTCTTGATAAAGGTGAAAGAGGAGAGTGAAAGAGCTGGCTTAAAACTCAACATTCAAAAAACGAAGATCATGGCATTGGTCCCAGCACTTCATGGCAAACAGATGGGGAAACAATGGAAACAGTGATAAACTATTTTCTTGGGCCCCAAATGCACTGCAGACAGTTTCTGCAGCTATGAAATTAAAAGATGCCTGCTCCTTAGAAGAAAAGCTATGACAAACCTAGACAGCCTATTAAAAAGCAGAGACATCACTTTGCAGACAAAGGTCTGTATAGTCAAAGCTATGGTTTTTCCAGCAGTCATGTATGGATGTGAGAGTTGGACTATAAAGAAGGCTGAGCACCAAAGAAATGATGCTTTCAAACTGTGGTGCTGGAAAAGACACTTGAGAGTCCCTTGGACAGCAAAGAGATTAAACCAGTCAATCTTAAAAGGAAATCAACCCTGAATATTCATCAGAAGGACTGATGCTGAAGCTGAAGCTCCAATATTTTGATCACCTGATGTGAAGAGCTGACTCACTGGAAAAGACCCTCATGCTGGGGAAGATTGAGGGTAGGAGGAGAAGAAGGCAACAGAGGATGAGATGGTTGGATGGCATCATCAACTCAATGAACATGAGTTTGAGCAAACTCTGGGAGATAGTGGACGACAGGGAAACCTGGCGTGCTGCAGTCCATGGGGTTACAAAGAGTCAGACGCAACTGAACTACTCAACAAAAGGAATAAAATCTATAAATAAAATTATAAGCCAAAATTTCAGAAATTTTTACATTGTCCTAAAACATTTGCAGAGAAAATGGTGCATATGTGCATGGTTTTTGTTAAAAAGCAAGGGCCTGGACACTATGGAAAACAGTTTTTGGTAGTTCCTTGGAAAGTTAAACATATGTGACCAGGCACACCTAAGAATACAACCAGAGTTTCAGGATGGCATGATGAGAAAATTTTGGAAACAGTGGTGATGGGTTGCATAACAATGTGAATGTAATTGATGCCACCGGATTGCACATTTAAAATGATTAAAATGAAAATTTTATGTTACATATGTTTTAACAATTTTTAAAATTAGTAATGCAATACCACAGAATTGTGTACTTTAAATGAGTGAATTTTATGGTATGTGAATTACATCTCAATAAGACTGCTAAAAAAAAAAAGCATAGGCCATGGGGCACTGCTCTGCTCCTCAGGGTCCAGCCGTCCAGTCACCCAGGCTCTCACCTCACTCTTCACCCACGCCCTAAACACTGTCCTGGCTCACACAAAGCACAAAGGGTCCAGGAGTGGGCGGTGAGGTGGCTGAATCTCCCCTCCAAAAATCCCAAGGCATTCTGTGACTAGATAAGATGTGGGGGCCTGTGAAGAGGGAAGACTGGGAAGGGCTCTGAGTAGCAAGTGGAGGGATAGGACTTGAGACAGGGATTCTACAAAGTAAGCAGGGGGCTCCCTTACATTCATAGCTACATGCTTTAGAAGGGGGAGCAGATGGTTGGGAGAGGGGTGAAATGGGGAGACCACTGACATAAGACAAGCAAAACGGATGAAGTCTGAACTAGGACACTGAGGAATGAACAGGAAAAGACACGGATTCTAGAGAACTTCAGGAGAAAGGTGACTTTGGGACCACCTCACTATAGGAGCTGAGGGCCAGGCAAAAGTCTTTTTTTTTTTTTTAGGCAAAAGTCTTAAATGACATTTTGCAGTGCAGAAAAGTGGGTGAGTGTGGGCAGTGTTTCCTGGCGGGAGGCAGGGAGCACTCCACGGTGGAGGCACTTTGGAACACTGGAGTGGCTATTCTGAGCAGAACCAACAGAATCGGTCTGGAGGGCAGGAGGTGTCTGGGCTGGAGACAGACTTGTCCACAAGTACATCAGTGCAGGCTGATGCTGAGAGCACCACCAGGCAGGCAGTATCAATAAGGAAAGCGGGCCAGAGGTACAACTAAGGAGTGGAAGGTGGGTGGGAAGCCAGACCCCTCTCCATGGGCCACTGGCTGGTGGGAATTCCAGCCAAGCATACCTAGCCCTTCCAGTTTGGGAAGAAGAAAACAGAAATCCAGATTTTCACATGAAATCTCTCCTTTTAAAGATATGAACACCACATTCATTTTTTAAATGGTGGGAAAAAATAAGTATCATAAAATTTAGCATTTTAAGTGCACAATTCAGTAGCATTAAGCACATTCACATTATATAAACTATCACCAGAACTTCTTTCATCTCCAGAACTTTTAATTTTCCCAAATAGAAACTCTACCCACTTAATATTAACTCTCCATTCTCCACTGAGCCCAGCCCACGGGGACAACCATTTTGCTTTCTGACTCTATTAATTTGACTATGCCAGGTACCTCACATAAGTGGAATTGTACAACATTTGTCCTTCAGTGACCAGCTTAATTTCACTTAGCATGACATCCTCAAGTTTCATCCATGTACCAGAACTTCCTTCAAAATTTAAAGGACTTTAGGGTTTTCTATGTAGAGGATCATGTCACCTGCAAACAGAGAGAGTTTCACTTCTTCTTTTCCTATCTGGATTCCTTTTACTTCTTTTTCTGCCCTGATTGCTGTGGCCAAAACAACATGTAAATCCATGGCTAATTCATTTCAATGTATGACAAAAACTACTGTAATGATGTAAAGTGATTAGCCTCCAACTAATAAAAATAAATGGAAAAAAAAAAATTTAAAGGACATCTTGTATACTAAACAAAACATACCTGAGCCAAGAGTTCCTGCTTTGAGTCATAGCAGTGAGGGAGGCCAGCACCTCCACCCTTTGTGGAAGCAATGATTGCAACATCATTTATAAAATTGTTTTTGTGGATCAGTGAATATACGAACTGCCACTGATCATTTCCGTGTGTGGCTGGCTTTCTGCAGACTGAGCCGGGCACTTCATGGGCATGCACACATAGTAGGTAGTAGGGTGTGCCTCAGCAGAGCACTGGCTAATTACATTCATGTGCAACACATGTTCAGAGCACACAGACAGGCCTGTGCGATCAGAGCGTGGACTGAGGCCATGCCCTACAGGTTTCCGCGTCTGCGCGTGCCTGTGCTTGCGTGCTCAGCCATGTTCTGACTCTTCGCGACCCCATGGACTGTGGCCCACCAGGCTCCTCTGTCCATGGGATTTCCCAGGTAAGAATACTAGACTGGGGTGCCATTTCCTCCTCCAGGGGGATCTTCCCAACCCAGGGATCAAGCCTGGGTCTCCTGCGTCTCCTGCACCGGCAGGCAGGTTCTTTACCTCTGAGCCACCTGGGAAGCCCTAAATGTGCCTAGTCACACGTAAATGTGCAGAGGCAGGAGCAGACAGCCCTGTGACCACACCCTCACAGGCCTCTGGATACACGCAAAAGAGCTGTAACCAAGCGGGAGTTCCCTATCCACACTCTATGAAGGAACCCAGCAGGACGAAATACACAACGTGCAGAAGTCAAAGTCCAACGTAAGGTGTGAACACACCAACACTCAGGGCACAGCAAGGAAGACGGTTCACATGCCATCACAGGACTGTAAACAAATTACCGAGGTGTGGGGCAGGGGTTCCCTGAGCGCAGAGCAGAAACCCAAATCTATTCCCCCATCACTCTCAGCCTTGGTCTGAGTGCCAGCACTGGGGTTCCGCAGGTAAGTCTGCTCTACCATGCGCCCGGTGGGCCTTCAAATATCTGCCTTCTGACCTGTTACCATTACGGGCTGGCCCAAGCAGCATCTCCAGAGCTCTTCTACCAAAAGCCCGTTTATCGTGTCTGCACTGTTTGCGTCTGGTATGCCTCCATTTATCCTGAGCCTTTGGGATCCTACCCGCGTCGCTCCCTCATCTTCACGCTTCATGACTTCCACACTTTGTACAGGCCACCCTAAAATCTGAGATTACCAGCAGGCTCTCTGGGGGGGGGTCCCCACTGGTTTCTTAGATCATTCTCTGAACACACATTTGCTGGGCCTCCATGATGCACCTCAGCTTTGTCGCCCAAGATCCCAGCTGGCTAAATCTAAAACTTGTTGGGCACACGGCTTGTAGCTGAAGGTCATGGCTGCAGACCCAGAAGGAACCCTGGCTGGAACGAACACCCAGGACCTAGACACGGGGTGGGGCGGGGCGGCGGGGAGAGCATGGAAGGCGCTGGCCAGGCCAGCACAGGAAGCTGGGAGCTACCACCCCCCACGGCGATGGACCACGGCCGTGCCGCCACTGAGAACAATCTGTCCTTAGCATTTGTGGGCCATTTCCACACGGGGGCAGAGAAAGGGAACCTCTGTCCCTTCTCTAACTTCCAAGGAGGTGGAACTCTAGATGAGCCCTACAACCGTAATACATAGGGTTATTTGATGGCTGTGTAGGCAATAAATAAGGGAAATTCACCACCCTGTGGGAGATGGTTAGAAAACAAAAAACACAGTACTGCCATTTTCTTGCCACTGTATTAATAGTTCTATGATCTGCCACTCTTCTCATTAACAAAATTTCCCTCCTCTCTCATTTTATTTTCACTCATCAGATGTGGAATTTCCTCACCTCTCCATCACTATGTATTCCCTTCTATATGAGCTTTTCTTTCAAAAAGAAAGAAGATGAGCATTGGTGATGGGCACTCCCCCAGGATTGGTGATATTCACAAGCTATTCCAACCTTTGGACAAAGCACTGTGTTCATGTGCCCAGCTCTGGGCATTTGCCCGCAGAGCCTGGAGGGACCAGAGTTCTGAGGACCACGTTCTTCCCTCAATCATTCTGTTTTTCTCTCATGGCCCCAGAAACGGATCTCACGCTTTACCTGGGCGCCTTCCTCCCCAGCCCTCAGCAGAGACACATGAGCGTTGGTCAAGAGCAAAAGCTTCACCATGGGTGTCTGAGGATTAAGATGCATATTCTTATCCTCAACACTGTCCACAGAGCCAACTGTGGCTTTAAGGGGGCAACTGTTTCTGAAGCGGAAAAGTCTGCCAATGCCCCAAGGATCTTCAGTTTCTTGCCCAACACTTTGGAATTCCTCAACGACTACATAAATTAGCAGGAGGAAGGGAAAGACACCACTTCCCTGATGGGTTCTCTGGGAGGGATAACACCCCACCCTGATCAGCCAGAGAAATAATTAACCTCCTACTATAATGACCACCTTTCACGAGGGTGGGGAAAACATTCTTTTATATACCCATGAATACTCTTACGTATTTCAGATTTTTCCAGAAAATTCTGTGCTACCATCTGAAAACTGCTACAAATAGATATGTGGTAGTTCAGGTTTAGATACCTATTATTTTCATTAAACATAAAGGTGCAAAGGGGTGGGATACAGACCAAATAAAAACAGAGTCTGACAGAGCTCATGTTACTACCATCTTTCACTCGAAGTGAGCTGAGTGCATGTTCACCCTGCCTTTCTGCCTTTGCCCACATGACTCTCCTCACCAGGAATGCTTCTACTTTTCCTCGCCCATTTAATAGGGCCCTGTGCATATCCACCTTCTCTGGAAGACCCAGCCTGAACTCCTCCTGCCACTCACATCCCTTGCCCCTGAACTCAACACCACCAAGCCTGCCTCTCAATGTTAAACTCTGATTATTCAAGTCTTCACGATCTTACTTCCTGCTATCTCTACATTCAAGCAGTTTGAACACAGGGACAGAGCATTCTATTTTCCATGCATATTCTTCCTACCAAGCAGTGAACAATTAGCTACCTGATAAATTTGCTGCTGCTCTGGGCAGGGTTCTATAGTGGTTCTAAAGTGCTCTATGAGGGCTGGAAGGACAGGTCAGAAAACTAGGTGAAACTGGGGTCTGAGACACTGATGATCCCTCTGCCATGATACGCTGGCTGCCTATAGGAAACAGTGGCTCAGAAGTCAAGCAGATGCAATGCTGTCCTGATTCTGCCCAGAGGCGTGGTTCTCATGGACTAGAGACAGGGACACCCAGCACCAGGGCACACAGCGGGGGCAGAGGAGTCACGGTGGGGCCCAGCCTTGAGCACGATGATGTCTCCAGCTACCTTCCGCATCTCCTTCCCCTGCAGCCCTGAACCACAAGGGCAGTACGAGTTGAGCATAACAACTAGAGAAGTTCCAAGGCCAGCCCTGGACATCAGGAGCTGGCATTTAAACAAAGTGAGGACCAACAGCTGAGGCTGGGGGAAGATGACCCTAACCAGCACCAGATGCTGGCTCATAGCTCCCTGGGTGGTGCACACGTCTGCCCCCAACTCCCCAGTCCAGTTTGGGCTGTGGAGCTTTGACACGTACCCACTTTGCGATGGGGCAGCCACGTGAGCTCTTCCCTTCCTTCCCCGTGTAGATGACCTTCTCGATCCGGATGGCTTTCCCCTTCTCTCCGTACCTGGAGAGCAAGACAGAAGCCACCATTAGCACAACTGAATCCCAAAGGAGTCCTGGTAAGAAGGCAAGTCTCAGCGTGTTTCCGCCTGGGTTTCTAGTTACCATGGGGGCAACAGAAAAGGAAGAGAAAGATTTAAACATTTATTCAGTGCTCGAGCCTCTGGGAACACACCTCCACTTATAGACCTCAGGGCCTCTGGCCCACCTGGCTCCATCCTGCCCCAGGGCAGAAGGTCTCTGATGATTCTCTCTGAGCCCTCAAACCAAAGGCTCAACATAGGCATTTGTATGCAGCCCTGTTAGCAGACTTAGCTACTTATAAAGTCAATAAAATTCAACAGACAAAAGAAAACAAATGGGGAAACCCTTATTACTGTCTTTCAACAATCCCCAAATGACATTTGAACAGATGAGGACAGATAGCTGAGTCCAGGGGGAAGTGGCCTCCCCAGGACACACTGGCTCCGAGACTCCCTCGGACTTACAGGAAACACGCCTGTTTCCTGCACACACCCCTGCGCTGGCCCACACACGTGTGCACACACTCAGGGATTCACCACGTGCAGAGGTGAGGAAACTGTGGCCCTCGGAGCTGAAATGACCTCCTGAAGGGCACACAACTACCTGGGGGCAAGGCCGGCTACAGTGCAGCCACGGAGGTCAGAGAGCTGGGCCTGAGAGCCCACACAGCCCTTTCACTACAAGACTGTGGCCAAACGCCTGAACTTCTCTAAGCCTCAGTTTCTTCATCTGTAAAATGGACATAAAAATGGTTCCTGTCTCCTAGGCTTGGCAGTGCCTTAAAAGCACTGGGCTGGCCAAAAAGTTCAGTCGGGAACAGGGGCTGGGAAACCTGAATGAACTTCCTGGCCAATCCAATACATCAAAGTTTCTGGCACAAAGGAAGAGCCCAGTAAGTATTCTTCACACTGCAAACATCCATCTTACTAATTTGTCTTATTTTTAATAGCTTCTAGTTTCTAATACAATATCATATCATCTGAGAATAATGGTTATTTGCCAGCTTCTCCTTTCCACTTTCCATGGCTTTACTTCAGTTTCCTGTCTGTCTGTACTGGCCAGCGCTTCCAGAGCTCTTGCAGGCATCTTTGCTTATTTCCTGACTTTCCTAGAAATGTTTCCAACGACTCACCCCTGAGCATGCAGCTTGCTAACTTTGGGCTAGAGACAGAAACTCCCTTATTTTGAAGAGCTCTATTAACGGTTTCCTGTTCTAAGAATTGTTAATCAAGAATTGATCAATTTTGGTGGCCCAGTGGTTAAGAATTCACCTGTCAATGCAGAGACATGGGTTTGATCCCTGTTCCGGGAGGACTTCACATGCTGAGTGGCAACTAAGTCCGTGCACCCTAAAGCCCATGCTCTGCACCAAGAGAAGCCACTGCAATGGGAAGCCCATGCACGGCAATTAGAGAGTAGCCCCCAGTCACCAAAACTAGAGAAAGCCCACATGTAGCAATGAAGACCCAACACAGCCATAGATACATTTTTAAAAAACTTTAAAAAAAGAACTGATCAATTTTATCAAATACATTTTTAACGACTAAGGACACAGAAGAATGGTTTTTCTCCTTTGGTCAATTAACAAGGTATGCTATTTTAACAGACTGTCTAAATCCAACAATTGTTATATTTCTGTAACAAATCCAATTTGGTCATGGCATATTATTTCAATATACTATTTAATAGAGGGTAATGTTATCATAACTACTAAGCATTTGTATCATAACTATCACAACTACTACTGTTTTACATATTATTTATATAAATTCATATACAGTTATACATAATTCTTTATCTTATCCACTTCACTTCTAGGAATCTCTGATATAACTTGTACCAATACACCAAGATTTAGGAACAAGATATCGTTGCATCAATGAGAAAATTTGGAAACAACAAAAATATCCAGTATTGTTGTTGCTTAGTTGCTGGGTTGTGTTCAGCTCTTTTGTGACCCCGTGGATTGTGGCCTGCCAGGCTTCTCTGTCCACAGTATTTCCCAGGCAAGAATACTGGAGTGTGCTGTCATTCCCTCCTCCAGGGAATCTTCCTGACCCAGGGATCGAACCCAGGTCTCCTGTGTTGGCAGGCAGATTCTTTACCACTGAGCCACCAGGGAAGCCCAAATATCTAGTACAGGACTAGCTAAATAAAACATAATTAAATAAATGTCCATGCCAATGGAAAACCATTTAGCTATCAAAAAGGAGTCAACAGAATTATATGTACTGACATGAGAAAAACTAAGTGGAGGGGAAAGTATCCACCAACATGGGTATAGTATTCTTGATCCCATCTTGTTCAAAATTTCTCTATATACATATGTTATCTTTGTAAATGCTCAGAAAAAAATCAAACTGGAAAAAATTTTTTCTTCTCGGAAGATAATTACTAGAGAGCTTTATTCACTATAAGCTTTTTAAAAATGGCCTTTTATAGACATGTTTTATTTTTGTAACTGGAAAAGAAAACAAGTACTTTTGAAAATGATGATCTAAGGTCTCTCTGAGTTCAATGTTCTCTGTTTCACTTAAGTCCTCGGGAATGAAGTGAAAAGCTGATAACTGCTACACTGAAGTTCTCAGGCTATGTTATAGAATGTGTTTGCAGACAGGACCCTGGGGGGTTTATATAGCATGGTCTGGCTCAAGAGGAAAAGACCAGATAGTGCTGCTTTTGTCTGACTCCTGGAAAACTTTCAACCCCACAAGCATTTATCAGGAAGTGGCCCATGTGCACAGAGCCTGGGCACTGTATGTCCTGGGGCCGCAGTGGGAAGAATGACCCAAGGTGACCATACCGCTCTCACCAAAACCCACAGGATATCGTCGTTCCCCACAGAAGGGTGAGTTGAGGACACAGACTCGGGCTTTCTGACCAAGACCTTCCGCACTGTCCTATCCTCATGAGAAATGCTTCTTGCAGTGAACCTTGTATTTCAGAGCAAATAAAAGGGCCAAGCACTGTCTGATCAGGCAAAATTTTTTTTAACCAGGACTGTCTCTGTGTTTAAAGACAACCAACAACTCTGGATTTAGCTCTTTTTTTCTTAAATGTCTTAGTTTCTGGCCTATCATTAAGAGGTTAGAATATAGGTGAACTCCTAGACCCTAAAGTAAAGTCTGCAAGGATAGGCTGAAACTTTATTTTAAAGGGTAACTTGATCGTCTTAGCCAGTGATTCTCAAAGGTGGTGCTGGGACCAGCATGCAGACTCTTAAGTCCCATCCCAGGCCTGCTGTTTCAGAAACCCTGGGCTGGGGTCCAGCCATCTGTGCTTTCACAAGTCCTCCAGAAACCTGAAGCATGCTCAAGCTTGATAACTGCTGATCTAAAGTTGTGATTCTTTGGGGTTACCTCCATCACACAATAATGAGACCAGTTCCCCCCAAATTCAGAGGATTTGCTAGCAGGGTGTTGGTGCTTCATTCCCAGAATGAACATTTACTGAACTGCTAGGCTGCAGAGAAGCCCCTTCCCAGTTAGAGGACATGTGGCCCTGTGCACCAGGCCCTTCTCAGATATGGGTTTGAACACCCGACTCCAATTACCTATGACGACAAGGACCTGGGTACCTAGGGGGTATGGAACCCATTAACAAATTTTATAACATTTCAGGACTTGCTTTGAACCTCCCCCTCCTTCCAAAGTCTTTACCAGATAAGCTAAAAGCACCAACATCCCCTGGGTTTCAGTTTTCTTCCCTCCTCGTCTTGGCCAACTCCTGGCTGTAGATTGGTCCTGCAGAGAAAGGGTGGGGGGGAAGTCTAGAGAAAGGGATAGCTCGGATCATTCCCAAACTAGACTCCCATCGAGGTGAGTTTCAGCAATCATTCATTCCCCTCCTTGTTCCGGAAGAAGCTTAAAAAGATGTCTATGTGATAAAAACAACAGGTGATGAAATCAGGGTAAAGGGGGAAAGAGACAGACATGATGTTTGTATGTAAAATGCAAACGGTGGGATCTTATGCATACTTTAAAGAGATGAGTCTAGAACATTTCATCACATAAGAAATCAAGGAAGCTAATGAAGGCTCCTTAGGGTCACGTCAAAAGGACTCAGGGGTGAACCTGCATAGACTTCCATGGGCCAAAGATGAGAAATCACGTTCCTCCTAATGAGAATACACAAATCTGGTGCTAAGCTTACTAACAGCCAACATAAAGATGGAAACACAATCTGTTCCATGATTTACAAGGTCCTTAAGATAAAAATAAACCAGTTGCTGAGGAAAAACACAAGTATTCCTGGTCTTGAGAGGAATTCCTCCCTTGGATCAGTTTCTGAAGAATCTACACTTGGCTGTTATTTTTAAAGCAATGAGAAAAAAGGAAAGGACAAATCTCAACTGCATCATTATCTCTTAATCCTTATTTCAAAACACACTCTTCTATAACTAAAAGTTATTTAGAGAGCTGTCTAGAAATCTTATAAAATTGTTACCAAGAAACAAACAAATGTAAAAACCATCCCAGATCAAACTTGTATATCTGACGCCACTGCAGCCCTCAACCTGTAAACAATGGTGTCAAAATTCCTCTCAAAAACCGCTGGCCAAAATGATGCCCACTCCAACCTCCAAGCTGCAAGACATATACACGCAGGCACGTGCAGGGGTACGTGTAAAACCACACACACTGGGTTTTTTGAGTATAATTGCTTTACAAGGTCTGGTACTCTTCTGCTGTACCATGAAGTGAGTCAGCTGCAGGTATTCATACATCCCCTCCCTCCTGGACCTCTTGCCCACCCACCCCCGCATCCCACCCCTCTAGGGCATCACAGAGCATGGGCCTGAGGCCCCTGTGCTACAAAGAAGGTTCCCACGAGCTACCTATCTTACACATGGTAGTACATACATATGCCAACGCTACACTCCCGATTCCTCCACCCTCCTCTCCCCATCTCCTCCACGACCCCTGTCCACACGTCCATTCCTTACATCTGCATCTCCATTCCTGACCTGCAAACAGGCTCCCCTGAACTGTTTTTCTAGATTCCACATAATTTGTGTTCATATATGATATTTGTTTTTCTCAGCAATCCCACATACTGTATTGAAAGTGAAAGTTGCTCTTTGTGACCTCATGTACCATACAGTCCACGGAATTCCCCAGGCCAGAATACTGGAGTGGGTAGCCTTTCCCTTCTCCAGGGGTTCTTCCCAACCTAGGGATAGAACCCAGGTCCCCTGCATTGCAGGTGGATTCTTTACCAGCTGAGCCACAAGGGAAGCCCAAGAATACTGGAGTGGGTGGCCTCTCCCTTCTCCAGCAGGTGTTCTCAACCCAGGAATTGAACTGGGGTCTCCTGTATTGCAGGCAGATTCTTTACCAATTGAGCTATTAGGGAAGCCCACATACTGTTTTTAAGTGTTCCCTTTTCTCCACATCCTTGCCAACATTTGTAATCTGTAGACTTTTTGACAATTTTCATGGACTCAGAGGTGCTCTTTCAATCAGGCTTGAATTTACAGATTGGGTCTTTAATCAAATGCTTTTCTGATGGTCTACTATGAATATAAATGTTTCCAGATGGTACAGGATAATTAAGAGTGTTTACAGCAGATCACTGTCCTCCATCCACCTTACCTTTTATTCATTCGGGGACATCACTACAGTTATGCAATTCAAAATCATGTTTCCTGCTAATTTATCAGTTTAGCTACACTGGTCAGATAAAATCTGCTCCCCAAATTTCTGGAAATTCTAAGCTACTTAGCCCTTGGCCTTCCACATCTGTATGTATATGTATGAGCAAACACATTTATGTCTTACATAATCTGTGACTTTACTATTAAAATACTAATAAACCTTAGTTATTAAAAAACCCACAGTCCATGTGGATATCATGCAGACACCCTGTATGTAATATTTACGAGTAAGGACCAGGTGCTTTCCAGACATCAATTCCATTTATCCTCATAATTCTCCTTCAATGTATATGCTTTTATCATCTCCATTCTGTAGATAAGAAAACCGAGTCACACAGAAGTAGAGCAACTTACCAAAGAACTCAGCAGTGAGTGGAAGGGCCAGGACTTGGACCTGAGCTCTAGCTCCAGGGTCCCAGTGTTCCCAATCACCAAGCTATTTTACTGCTCTACACTCTGGGACTCATAGTATTTAGTATCTACTGGGGACACACATGGATTTAAAAGTTTCTATTTATATAAAACTGCTGTTAAAAAAGCAGAACAGAGCTATTAAGCAAAAGCCCTACAGTCTTGTGTTGAATTGTAAGTGTACATAAACTCAAATGTATTTAATCACTAAACAGTAACAAAAGTAAAAAACCTACACATATATCTTGGCTCTTTCTACTTGAAATGGCCTAGAGAAATGGGCACTCCCAGCACCTGGAGTCTCTTTTCTAAATAATTTTTCCGCCATAAAAATACAAGAAATCAAAAACTCCTAGGATCATGTCAAAATGACTCAGGAGATCATGTAAATAGGTGCCCACTGGCCAAATATGAGGCATACATTCCTCCTAGTGGTGATACAAAACATCATCTAGGAATAGTTTTAAAAGAAAGAAACAATCAGATTCTGATCAAGCCTTTAGATCTAACTGCCAATTTACAGGACACAGGGCAGAAGAACCTGTTAAATACCACAGGGATGGTAGCAGCATTATTCAGCCATGGGAAACTCCACAGGACCCACAACCATTTAACCCCATTTCTTTAAGGAAAACTATGTCAATAAAGAGTGAGAGAAAGCAGGGACAGAGGAATATATGAAGGGCAGACCTACAGACAGAAAGAAACCCAGAGCACTGGTGGGGTGGAAATCCCACATTCAACTTTTCACAGTCTGGGTATCAGGGATTCCTTTCTGTAGGCTGTCTAGTATAAGGCAATGAAAATGAGAGGTGCTTAAAATGCACATTCTATTAACAACTTGCCCATTTCTCCTTGGACATCTGTGCATCACTCACCGCTCCTCCATGAGTTCCCGGATGGAGGCTACTGTGGGGCCAGATCCCAGATGAGTATAATATGGACCTTCATCTTTCTCCACTATTTGTTCTGCAGAAACAGAGTAAACATGATTTGGAGACATCAATTCACCAACAGAAATTCAGGAAGGCAAACCACCAGTAGGAAAATGAATGGTACATTATAAAACAGGAAATTCAAATGGCTTATAAACATATGAATACATTCAATCTCATTAGAAATCAGGAACTACAAATTAAAATCACAATGAAACACCATTATACATAGACCAAGTTGGCAAACATTTAAAAATCTGATAAAACTACATACTATCAAGACTGAGGTCTAACCACTTTGGCATTTAGTTTATCATTATATATAATCTAAACCAGAGGTTAGCAAAGCACTCCATTTTAAGGTACAGACCCCAAACAAACTGAAAACAACGACTCCAACAGCACCTGTATGCCGTGTCCACTGCAGCATACTCATGAGAGCCAAAGGTGAAAACAGCAGATGCGTCCATCAACACAGATGAACAAAATGTGATATATCCATAAAATAGAATATTATTTGACCATAAAAAGGATTTTTTCTGATACATGCTACAACATGAATGAATCTGGAAAACATTTTCCTGTTGTTCAGTTGCTCAGTCGTGTCCCATCTTGTAACCCTATGCACTGCAGCACGCCAGGCTTTCCTACCCTTCACTATCTCCCTGGGTTTGCTCAAACTTGTCCATTGAGTCGATATTGCCATCCAATCATCTGATCCTCTGTCACCCTCTTCTCCTCTTTCCCTCAGTCTTTCCCAGCATCAAGGTCTTTTACAATGAGTCAACTATTCACATCAGGTGGCCAAAATATCGCAGCTTCAGCATCTGTCCTTCCAATGAATATTCAGGACTGATTTCCTTTAGGATTGATTGATTTGACCTCCTTGCAGTCCAAGGGATTCTCAAGAGTCTTCTTCAGCACCACAGTTTGAAAGCATAAATTCATGGGCACTCAAACTTCTTTTGGTCCAACTCTCAGATCCATACATGACCACTGGAAAAGTCACAGCTTTGACTATACAGACCTTTGTCAACAAAGTGGTGTTTCTGCTTTGTAATATGCTATCTCGATTTGTCATAGCTTTTCTTCTAAGGAGCAACTGCCTTTTAATTTCATGGCTGCAGTCACCATCTGCAGTGATTTTGGAGCCCAGGAAAATAAAGTCTGTCACTATTTCCATTCTATTCCCATTTATTTGTCATGAAGTGATGGAACCGGATGCCATGGTCTTAGCTTTGAATGTTGAGTTTTAAGCCAGCTTTTTCACTCTCCTCTTTCACCTTCATCAATAGGCTCCTTAGTTCCTCTTCATTTTCTGTCATTAGGTTGGTGTCATCTGCATTGCTGAGGTTACTAACATTTCTCCCAGCAATCTTGATTCCACCTTGTGATTCATCTGGCCTGGCATTTTGCATGATGTACTCTGCATAGAAGTTAAATAAGCAGGGTGATAATATAAAGCCTTGACGTACTCCTTCCCCAATTTTGAACCAGTCTGTTGTTTCATGTCTGGTTCTAACTGTTGTTTCTTGGCCTCCATACAGGCTTCTCAGGAGGCAGGTAATGGGATCTGGTATTTCAATTTCTTCAAGAATTTCCCACAGTTTGTTGTGATCCACATAGTCAAAGGCTTTAGTGTAGTCAATGAAGCAGATGTTTTCCTGGAATTCTCTTGCTTTTTCTATGATTCAATAGATGTTGGCAATTTGATCACCGATCCCTCTACCTTTTCTAAATCCAGCTTGTACATCTGGAAGTTCTCAGTTCAGGTACTGCTGAAGGCTAGCTTGAAGGATTTTGAGCATTATCTTGCTAGCATGTGAAATGAGCACAATTGTGCAGTAGCTTGAAAATGCTTTGGCATTACCCTTCTTTGGGATTGGAATGAAAACGGATCTTTTCTAGCCCTGTGGCCACTGTTGAGTTTGTCAAATTTACTGATATATTGAATGCAGCACTTTAAGAGCATCTTTTAAGATTTTAAAAAGGTCAGCTGAAATTCCATCATCTTCACTAGCTTTGTTTGTAGTAATGCTTCCTAAGGCCTACTTGACTTCACACTCCAGGACGTCTGGTTCGAGGTGAGTGACCACACCATCGTGGTTATCCAGGTCATTAAGACATTTTTTGTACAGTTTTCCTGTGTATTCTTGCCACCTCTTCTTAATCTCTTCTGCTTCTGTTAGATACTTACAGCTTCTGTCCTCTCCTGTCCCCATCTTTGCATGAAACATTCCCTTGTTATCTCTAATTTTCTTGAAGAGATCTCTAGTCTTTCCCATTCTATTGTTTTTCCCTATTTCATTGCATTGTTTACTTAAGAAGGCTTGCTTATCTCTCCCTGCCATTTTCTGCATTTAGTTGGGTATATCTTTCCCTTTTTCCTTGGCCTTTCACGTCTCTTCTTTTCTCAGTTATTTGTAAGGCCTCCTCAGACAACCACTTTGCATTCTTGCATTTCCTTTCTTGGGGATGGTTTTGGTCTCCACCTCTTGTACAATGTTATGAACCTCCATCCATAATTCTTCAAGCACTCCGTCTACCAGATTATCTATTTGTCACTTATATAATCATAAGGGATTTTATTTAAGTCATACCTGAATGACCTAGTGGTTTTCCCTATGTTCTTCAATTTAAGTCTGAATTTTGACTTAATGATCTGAGCCACACTTAGCTCCTGGTCTTATATTTGCTGACTGTATAGAGCTTCTCCATCTTCCGCTGCAAAGAATATAATCAATCTGACTTTGGTATTGACCATCTGAAGAAGTCCATGTGCAGAGAATCATTGCTTGTGCTGCTAGAAGAGGGTTCTTGCTATGACCAGTGCGCGCACTCGGTGAAATTCTGTTAGCCTTTACCCTTCTTCATTTTGTACTCCAAGGCCAAATTTGCCTGTTACTCCAGGTATCTCTTGACTTTCTACTTTTGCATTCCAATCCCCTATGATGAAAAGGACATCTTTTTTGGTGTTAGTTCTAGAAAGTCTTGTAGGTCTTCATACAACCATTCAACTTCAGCTTCTTTGGCATTAGTGGTTGGGGCACAGACTTGGATTACTGTGATGTTGAACGGTTTGCCTTGGAAACGAATTGAGATCATTTGGTAGTTTTTGAGATTATACCTAAGAACTGCATTTCAGACTCTCTTGTTGACTATGAGGGCTACCCCATTTCTTCTAAGGGGTTCTTGCCCACAGTAGTAGATATAACAGTCATCTGAATTAAGTTCATCCATTCCCATCCATTTTAGTTCACTGATTCCTAAAATGTCAATGTTTACTCTTGCCATCTCCTGTTTGAACACTACCAATTTACCTTGATTCATGGACCGAACACTCCAGGTTGCTATGCAACATTACTCTTTACAGCATCGGATTTTACTTTCAGCATCAGATACATCCACAACCGGGCATTGTTTCTGCTTTGACTCAGACTCTTCATCCTTTCCGGAGCTATTTATCTGCTCTTCTCTAATAGTATATGGGACACCTATTGATCTGGGGCGGGGCTTATCTTTCAGTGTCATATCTTTTGCCTTTTCATACTGTTCATGGGGTTCTCAAGGCAAGAATGCTGAAGTGGTTTGCCATTCTCTTCTAAGGTGGGCTATGTTTTCTCAGAACTCCCCATCATGACCCGTCCATCTTGGGTGGCATAGCATGGCTCATGGTTTCATTGAGCTACACAAGGCTGTGATCCATGTGATCATTTTGATTAGTTTTCTATTCTAGCTCCTTCTGTCTTCTCTCTGATGGATGAGGATAAGAGGCTTGTGCAAGTTTCCTGATGCGAAATAAGCCAAACACAGGAGGACAAATACTGTATGATTCCACTTATATGAAATACCTAGAACAGGCAAATTCATAAAGGAAAAAGTTAGATTAGAGGTTACCAACAGCTGGGAGGAGTGAGGAATGAGGACTTACTGTTTCATGGGTACAGTTTGTTTAGAGTGTTGAAACAGTTTTAGAAATAGATAGTGGTGATGATTGCATAATATTGTGAATGCAATTAATGACACTAAACTGTGTGCTAAACTATGATTAAAATGGCAGATTTTATACTACATATATTTTAACACAATTTTAAGAAAAGAAAGGAATAAAGTACTGATACATGCTACAATATGGAGACACCTTCAAAAACATTATGCTAAGTGGAAAAGTCAAGACACAAAATATCACATAATAGCATGATTTCATTCAACTGAAATATCCAGAATAGGTAAATCCATAGAAACAGAAAGTGGAATCATAGTTACCAGAGGCTGGAAGGAAGAAGGAATGGAGAGTTACAACTTAATAGGCGCAGGATTTTATTCTGGAGTGATGAAAGTGTTTTGGAATTAGACAGAGGTGATTATTTCACAATACTGTGAAAGTGCTAAATGTCACTGAACTGCTCACTTTAAAATGCTTAGTTTTATGTTATACAAAGTTCACCACAATTTAAAAAAACTGATTCATACAACAACATGGGTGAGTTTTATATGAATTTTTCTAAGAGAAAGAAATAAAAGACTATGTAATAGTAACTCTGGAAAATGCTATCTTGACTGGATACTGTAAGGCTATAAACAAAAGAACTTTATACAAATACTGTAAAATACTGTACTACGGCTGGTAAATTTGCGTCATGTCTAGGGAAACATACAACTAAACACAATGTGGTATCCTGCAATGGTTCCTACAACAGAAAAAGGACATTAGTGGAAAAACTGACAAAATCCAGAAGTCTATAGTTAACAGTACTGTACCAACATTAAGGTATTAGTTTTAAATGTACCATAATTGTGTACGACATATATATTTAGGGTATATTGGGTAAAGGGCATATAGGAACTCTGCATCAACTTTGCAACTCTTCTATAAAATTATTTCATAACAAAAAGTTTTAAAAACAGAGCTTCCCTGGTGGCTCAGTGGTAAAGAATCCGCCTGCCAGTGCAGGAGACACAGGTTTGATCCCTGACCCAGGAAGATCCCACAGGCCACAGAACGACTAAGCCCATGCACCCCAACTATTGAGC